TACTGAGGCTGGGTGAGATGGAGGGGAGAGGTGGTGGAGAAGAAAACTTGTTGGCAGAAGCTGACTCTCCAGAGCAGAGAGTGAACACAAGACAGGAATCCCTCACACCCAGGCAAATCCATGAAACAGCAAGGGTTGTGGTCATAAAAGTAGACAGGAATGATCTTGGAGTGGACTGAGCTAGTGAGAAAAGCAGGCAAGTACCTTTTGCTGGATAGCTACACATTAAAACCACCCAAGAAAGAGTTTGTAAAAATACTGATGCCTGTGTCCTATCCCAGGGCAATTAACTCAAAATTTCCAGGAAGAGGGGGTGAATATCAGTGAGTATTTCACACTGTACCTCTGGTAACTGTAGAGTATATAGACAGAACTCAGAACTGCTGCCTACACCAAGAGCTCTCAAACCTGAGTATGCATCAGAACCACCTGTAGGCTTGTTAAGGCACAAATCACTGGGTCCCATCCCCAAGGTTCTGATCAATAGACAGGGGTAAGGACCAAGAATTTACATTTCTAACAAGTTCCCAGGAGATTCTAATACTATGGCTACCTTTGAATTAGATTACACAGAAGTGTGGGGCTCACTAGGCCAAGAAAGGAGGGAGGAACAGGCACTGTGCACAGTTAGCAAAGGCCTGGGGTGAAGAATGCTGGGAAATCTTCAAGGATCTCCTTGTGCCCACAGTGCTAGTGACTGGAGATTCTGGGAAAGAGGCTGTAAAGGTGGACTGAGAAGCAGCCTCCACTGGGATCCCTTTGACTCTGCCCCACCCCACTAACACCAACCTCTGAAGCAGAAAATCCTGGGTCTCACACCTTCACTGACCCATACCCCTCTTCTGTCCCTGCGATATGGCCACACACCCCACCCTATGACTCCAGAGCTGTCCATGAGCAGAGAGCTTGAGGACCCTGGGGAAAGTGGGATGGGTAACCCAGCGGTGAGAGAAGGTCTCCACCATGCCTGCCATGCCCATCAGCCGCATCCAGGTGAGACTGGGAGAACACAACATCAACGTCCTCGAGGGGACTGAGCAGTTCATCGATGCGGCCAAGATCATCTGCCACCCCAAATACAACCCAACAACTCTGGACAATGACATCATGCTGATCAAGCTCTCCTCACCTGCCGTCATCAATGACTACGTGTCCACCATCTCTCTGCCCACCGACCCTCCAACTCCTGGCAATGAGTGCCTCATCTCCGGCTGGGGCAACACTCTGAGCTCTGGCGGTGAGTGGCACCATTTGTCCTTCTACTTCCCTCCATCCTCACAATTTCCAGAACGAAGCATGCCCCTTAACTTAAATCCACTTGCCTTAAATCAACTTAAGACACATTTCCAGTGCCCATTACACACAGGCTCTGCACTGGGCACCAGAGGATGCAAAGTCTCAAGGACTTGGCTCCTAAAATCAAGAGACAGGACAAATGGAGAATGTGCTGTGATTACATGTTGGAAGGGGTTCAACAATGATCATTCTGGGATTGAAAAGCCAGAGCCCCTTGCCAGGACTTATGTTTTGGAGTCCTTTCCAGAGGCAGTGTTCCTCTTCAATGTTCCATCCTAGATTATTGTCTCCTTCTCTGGCCTGACCCACGTTTCTACTTTCCTTGTTCTCTTCCTGATTCTCACAGCTGACTACCCAGATGAGTTGCAGTGCCTGTGTGCTCCTGTGCTGACCCAGGCTGTGTGTGAAGCCTGCTACCCAGGGGAGATTACCAGCAACATGTTCTGTATAGGCTTCCTTGAGGGAGGCAAGGATTCCTGCCAGGTGATTTGAACAACCTTCCCATGCAGAGGCTCCCACTGATACCCAGGCCCCACCTGGGAAAAAGATTGGAACTCCCAAGGTGGCGGGGCTGAGGAGGCTCCCTGCAGTGTCCCCATGGAGAAGGGAGGAAGGCTCCCTTGGGCTGCATGCTGTCTGCTTAGGAAGAACAGAGAATGGGCTACCATGAGAAGGACATGGAGCCACAGAGCTGGCTGGAAAGGGGTCTTTAAGGTTCAGAGTCAATATAGCTATGTTCCTCCTCCATCTCTCCATACAACTTGTCCCTTCTTCTGCCCAGGGGGACTCTGGTGGCCCTGCCGTCTGCAACGGAGAGCTCCAAGGCATTGTCTCCTGGGGCTATGGCTGTGCCCAGAAAAACAAGCCTGGAGTCTACACCATGGTCTACAACTATTTGGACTGGATTAAGGAAACCAAAGCTGCCAACAGCTAAAGCCCCCGATCCCTCTGCAGTCTCTATACCAATAAAGTGACCCTGTTCTAACTGTGTCTGTGCCTGCTCCCTCTCACTCCTTCACACTGGAAAGCATCCTCCAATTTCAGGTCAGACACGACTTTCCTGCTTAAAGGTAAACAGAGCCCCCAGCTCCCAGAATGTGTTCCATGGTACACTAGATTAGCACATACAAAGAGATGGAATCCAAAACTAATAAGCTTGGGAGAAAGGGGGGCAGTGTTTTCTAGAGAAACGTGAATTTCAGAAAGGTGCTCTTGGATGCGGGGTATTGATTTTTATTTGGGCTTCTCACAGTGGTTAGAGCTACTCTGCCTTCAGAATAATCACAGTACAGAAAATGTGTCAGCATCTTCGAGGCAGCCCAAAAAATCTGACCA